CAGAGCGATCTCTTCTCAAGATTCTTAACTTAATTACATGAAAGATCCATTTTCCAAACAAGGCCATGCTCAGAAGTACCATGGGTTAGGACTTGGATGTGTTTTTTTCGGGGGCCACCACTCAACCCACTGCACTTAGCCTCGGAACTTTTGAGGTGTAACACCATGATGTTAGTGAACTCGCCTTTCAGGTGATTGCAAAAGTAAGAAGGCAGCGGTATGCTAAAGCACCTGACACACAGGAGGGTCACATGAGAAGAGGCCCGTGCCCACAGGATGCCTATGTAGGAGATGGATGCTAGTCAGACTCCTACAAGGTGTATCTGGTCCTAGGACAGTGTCAGTGTCTGTTCTGCTTAAGAGTAACTGAGTAGCATCCATCAACTGACCACATGGTCTACCCCAGTGGCATGGGCCATCTTCTTCATCTCACTTTGTAGAGATAGACTTAGTGCCAGGACACGGTTCTCAACATACATGGCACTAATGGTGTGGACAGTCCTGGGTGTTTTTCTCTCCCCCTTCGTATTGTCAGCTCTCGGTAGCCCATGCTTCCTTCTCTTGCTCAATACAGGTCTCAGGGCCAGGTAGTGCAGAGAGCGTTCTGATGGATAGATCACTCGACAAAGGAATACTAAGAACACCTGAGATAACTCGTGCCAGCTGTCAGTCTTTTCTGCATCTTTCCTTTGTTTAATCCATTTTAATTGCAGCATCCTTATTCCCACCCACCTTGGGTCTCTAGGATGGAGTAAAATAGGACTGTTCTTCCTATTGAGAGGGCTGAGTCTTCACATTTATTAGTTCTTCCCCGAGAGATTAATTCCTTAAGAACTGATTCTCTATAGCAACAGATCTGTCTTTCTGTCCTTTCCTTAAACTTATGTAAGCATCCAAGTGCTAGGAGATAGTAGCTCGATGCCATTTATATACTAAATTAACCAACTTCTCCCTGGGATAGAACTCCATTTAGATTTTTAGTCTTTACTTCTCAAGGAGAGTCACTGAATAAGAAAAAATCTGTGTGTAATACTTAAAGATATAAAAGTTTGTGAAGCAATCAGGCAGTTGTTTATCAGGAGATTACAATCATTTAATACCGATGATACACTGAAGTTATATGTGCCGTGATGTTTTGCAGGCATCACCCTTCTCATGCATTAACTACATGACAAGGGTTAATCATTGCTCTTTGACAGATGGCAAAATTGAAGCCCAAAGGGGGTATATAATTGCCTGATGTCCCATAGCCTAAGGACGAGGGTCAGATCCTTCCTTGTCTTGGGTTTCATCTTCATACTGGTTCCAAACATTTTGAAGGATCTCAATATACTGTGGTTGGCTTAAAATAGTCAATCCAAAACATTTTCTATTCCTTCCCCTATCAATAAAATTGTTCAGATGCACTCCAGTATAGACACGTTGGTGTGCCTTTGTTTATGTATGCTACTATGCTGTTACATTAGGTATTTTACAGAGTACAGTCTTCACAGAAATAGAAATGATAGAAGGATAAGCTAAAATTAAATCATCTATATTTAAATTTTTTAAATAGCACCAAAGGCCTTTAATAAAATTTTCTTTTACAGTGTGTTTTAGAGAGAGCCATGTGTTTAAATATGCCCTGTTCTTTTTTAAAATGTTGATTTAAAATTGTGTAATGTAGTAACTTAAAAATCTTATCTTAAATTCAGAACTTTTTGATACTTGACTTTAATCACTACATATATCCAGACAAGTTTATTATTGGCTATTTTTTAAAAATAGCCATTCTTTTATCTCATCCACTAGTTAGGTTAAAGCTTAAAGTGAAATTTAGCCAATAAATTTAATCCTATCCTCTGTGATACTGATCAGTGGCTGTTGCAAACTAATTAGTGTGGCATTTTAATATTTTTAACTAATATAGTCAAACTTGATAGATGCTCTTCATGTGGAATACTCTTACACTGGCTGACTGTTGTTCTTTACATGTAGAGGTATGTGTATATGTTCATAACATCTGTAGTTTTCCTGCCTTTTGTCTGATTTTGGTGTCAGGGAAGTGCTGCTATCACAAAATGAGTTGGAAAGTGTTGTCTCGAATTTCCTGAAAAGTCAGTTTAGAATTGGTATTATTTCTTTCTCAAGAGTTTGGTAAATTGACTAGTGAGGCCATTAATTCTAGATATGGGGAAGTTTTAACTACACATTCAGTTTCTTTGATAGAGGGCTGTTCGGGTTGTTAATGTCTTCTTTAACTACACTTTTGTATCTTTCAATGAAGTATCCCATTTAATCTAAGTTGTTGAATGTATTGGCATTAAGCTTATAATAGATATTTATATTCTTTTATTGATTTAAGGATCTGTAGTGATATCCCCTCTTACTAATATTGGTAGATTTGGATCTTTTTTCTTTCCTTTTTTTTTATTGGTCTAGCTAGAAGTCTACCAATTGATCGTTTTAAAGAACCAGCTTTTGATTTAGTTGATTTTCTGTATTTTGTGTTCTACTTTCTATTTCATTGATTTCCTCTCTTATTTTCATTATTTCTTTTTTGTTTGTTTGTTTGTTTGTTTTGGGTTTAATTTGCTCTTTTCCTTACTTTCTATAGGTGAAAGTTTAAGTCATCCTTGACCTTCTTTCTTTCAGATTGTTAATATGACAATTTAGATCACTGATATGAGACCTTATTATTTAATACATCATTTAATCCTATCAGTTTTCCTCTAAACAGTGGTTTAACTACATCCCAGAAATTTTGGTATCTTTTTATTCTCTTCAAAATATTATCTAATTTCCCTTAGTGATTTTATCTTTGACTTATACAGAAGAGTGTTAATATCCAAATATTTGTGATTTTCCAAATTCCTTTCTATTATTGATATCTATTTTAATTTTTTTGTGGTTGAAGAACATATTCTGTATTTCAGTTATTTTAAAATTCTTGATAGGGCTCATAATATGCTCTTTCTTACTGAATGTTTCATGTGCGGTTTAAAATAATGTAGATTTTGCTATTGCTGGGAGATGTTACGTAACTGTCAATTAGGTCAAGTTACTTGATAGTATTTTTATTTTATTTTGTTTGGTTTTTTTTTAGAGACAGGGTCTCACTCTGTTACCCGGTCTAGAGTGCAGTGGTATGATCATAACTCCCTGCAGCCTCGACATCTTGGGCTCAAGAGATCCTCCCACCTCAGCCTTCCGAGTAGTGGGGATTACAGGCATATGCTATTGTACCTTGTTGATAGTATTTTTGAAGTCTGCTATATTCTTACTTATTTCCTAACTACTTGTTCTATCAATTACTGAAAGAGGAGTTTGAAACTTCCTTCTTTATTTGTCTTTGTCTCTATGCAGTTTTATTAGTTTTTGCTTTATGTATTTGTATTTTGAAGCTCTGTTATTTCATGCATACATATTTATAATTATATCTTGTTGATTAACTGACCTATATAGCATTATGAAATGTCCCCATTTATCCTTGATATTAGTCATTAATTGTTCTGAAGTCTCATCTGTTACTAATACAACTCCCTTGGCTCTCTTTTGAGTGGTAGTTAAGTAATGAATAGTTTTTTATTCTTATGTTTTCTGTCTGCCTGTGTGTTTATGTTAAAGTTGGTTTCTATAGACAACATGTAGTTGATCTTGCTTCTGTTTTTGTTTTTCATTCATGTAGTCTCTATCCTGGGCATATTTATAATATTTATAGAGCTGTTATAAGGTCATTATCTACTTATCCCATGCATCTCTGTCATTTCTGTGTCCATTTCTACTCCTTTCCTTTTCTGGTTATGGGTTCTATTTGACTGCTTCGTTGCAGGCTTGGTAATTATTGATTGGATGTTAGATATAAATTTTATATCCAGTGGAGTACTAGATTTTGCTTTATATTATTTGCTTTGTTTAACTCTGTCCTGTCATTAATCCTTATAGCTAATGACCAGAGTTAAGATCTGTCCATGCCTTCCTTTTCACTCTAGAAGGTCAAGTGCTCATAATATCTATCTGTTGTCTTATATTGAATGGTTTTAGGTATTTGAAAAAAAATGACTGCATCGTTCTTGTCTGTAACAATTGAGAAAGTAGAGACATTTCCTCATATTATTATTAAAATAGTCATGAATATATGAATATTTAAAATATCATTTTACGTAAACCATAATGTTTTGTGTAGATTTCAACGTTACTGTTGTCCTAGTCAGCATGGGTTAAGGGTGGAAAGTACAATTGATATTTTTGACACATTTCTGATAACTAGCCCTCTCTTAATTGGCTCTATGAATAACTCTGGTAACCTGTGTGTTACCTGTCTTAATCCTTATAGCTAATGACCACGTGGGAAGTGCTCTTTTCACATGGTGCACTGTTGTCGATCAGCTGTATTCAGCATGGTTTATTTTGTTCTCTGATTGCTTATTAAGTAGCACTACAGCTGTCTTTTAGCTACAGCCTTTCCCCTCAGCCTCTGGTGGAGACTGCTTTGTGATTTTCTCTCCTCAGCAGTGTGAGGAATGATTGAATTGCTTTCTATAGCATACAGAGCTTTTTCAGAAAACACCAAAAGCATAGTTCTTGTGTGTTCATTGCCTCTGAAAAAAAAAGCATGGTCCAGTGAGGCCCTGCTGAGGTCACTGCCTTCCCCAGTTACTGTGACCAGCTCCCAGGTAGAGTCACCTCCTGTGCCTGCTCTTTGCCTGTTCTCCACATTTCAAAGAGAGGATAAGCAAACAAAGCAACAATTCTTTCCAGTAAAATCATCTTCTATAACTTTGGGGAATGCTGTAGCTAAGCCCTGAATTGCTTTTTTGAATTTTGTTTTGTTTTGTTTTGAGTAGGAATGTGTCAGAGCTGATAACCTTTCTTAAGACTGTCTTAGATCAGGTAACTCCTCAGAAGAGGACTCCAAAGAGAACACAGTATCACACAGCTAGAAGAACCATCCCTGGGAAGAAGGTGTTGTGGTGGAGGCCACACCCACTTCACTGAAGTCTTTCTCTCCTTCTCCCCAGGTGTTGAAAAACTCATCCACCACCTGCAGAAACACAACATACCCTTTGCTGTTGCCACCAGCTCAGGGTCTGTGTCATTCGAAATGAAGACAAGTAGACACAAAGAATTCTTCAGTTTGTTTTATCACATCGTCTTGGGAGATGACCCTGAAGTAAAGAATGGCAAGCCAGACCCTGACATATTTCTCGCCTGTGCCAAGAGATTCTCTCCTCCTCCTCCCATGGACAAGGTAAGCAGTATTGGTGAGAAAAGCAACAACAAGCCGAGTTTCACCAAATAACATCCACATAGTGTTTGTTAGAGATGAGAAGTCTTGGATTGCACTGATGAAGGGCCACTGTGGAGTGCTCCTAAGAACTTGGATAAGTGGGCTGGGAGGTAACTCAGCCCAAGGATTCTGTGAGGGGTTGTGCCCATGCCTACGTCACCAGGCCTGTGAGACTGGGCCACAATCTGCTGGGTCTCTAAGACACATCTGCCAGAACACTGTCTATTCAGACGTTTTCCGGGGAAGGGGGGAGGTGGGGGGGAGTGGTGTCAATGAGCTTACAACATTCTGATTTTTAAGGAGCAGGCTTTAAGGCCTGTAGTTATTGCAATTCAGATGTAAATCATCAAAACTTACTTCCCCTTCCCAATTGCTTGTGATAAGGTATTTTTTTACGGTTTCTTGTGTGTAGTGATTTTTTTTATTGCAGAGTTTTTGGACTTCCATCTGTTTCTCCTTTGGAAAGTGGCAACTGGTGGACTTGTGTGCTGTAGCACCCTAAGCCTGCTGAGGGAGCTACTTCTTACGCAAGGCTGCAGCAGAGATGGGCACATGGCTTCCTCCTCTTGTCCAAACTTGTTCCTCCTAAGGTGACCCAGAAAGAGCATTTAGAAAGAGTTGATTGTGGTGGTTCAGCCTGACTCCAGATTCTTCTGACTTCTCTGTGACTACCCCGATGGAGTCTTTTGCCTGAGCTATCTTCAGATACAGATTCTAGAATAACAGAGACATTCTTGAAAGGGGGCTCCTATTGACTGGATAACTGTGAGCAGCTGAGGAGGGCATCCATTGAGATGACCCTGTGAGCCCCTGCCAATGTCTCCTTCCCTCTAGGTTCCTGTGTGTTAAGACTTGAGTAGTTTGAGGTGTATTAGTTCATGGAAGAGCATTTCGGTGGAAGGTCTTTTTCATTTCTTGCCTCATCACTGACTAGGCAATGGGGTTGCTGGCCTGTAACCCAGGAGATGGAATTGTTGGCCTGTAACTTCACCCATCACAAGTTCAAGTAAAATTATTCAAAACCTTCTTCCCAATAAAGCTGAGCTACTAGAGTATTCTTTAAAATCTGTTTTTTTGGCTCAGGATCCAACTTACTACATTAAGCCTGTAAAGGCAGCTGAAATACGATACTGAGTATGCCATCCTCTGACTCTCCAACACCAAGTTCACTTCAATTCTGACACTACCTCTCAGACCTAGTGCATCCCCCTACAGGTTGAGGGCTCAGTCCCACAAGGCTTCCTCCTACCAAAGACACCCATCACAAATTCCCGGGACTGCCTATACTTCTGACCCACCAGTCACAAATTGGGGGTTCCTGCAACCTCATCCTTGGGTCTGATAATTCCCTAAAATGACTCACAAAAAATCAGGAAAATATTTTGTTTACCTTTACTAGTTTGTTATAAAGGATAGAACTTGGGAATAGCCAGAATAGCACAAGGCAGAGTATGGCAAGCTGGTGCAAAGCCCCCTCCCCTTTCTGGGCACCCAACCCTCCCAGCACCTCCATGTGTTCACCCTCAAAGCTCCCCAGACCGCATCATGTAGGGTTTTTTATGGAGGTTTTATTATGGGGGCGTGAGTAATTAAATCACTGACCCTTGGTTACTGAACTCTGTTTCAGGCCCCTGTCCCCTCCCTGGTGGGCCTGAAAGTTCCAGTCTTTTAATTACATATTTTGTCTTTCTGGCATCCAGACCCCATCCTGAAGCTATCCTGGGACCCACCAAGAGGCGCCTCACTAGGTGGAAAAGAGTTTGTTAATCACTCAGGAAATTCCAGGCATTCTAGGAGCTCTGTGCCATGAACCCAAGCAAAGACCAAGTAATGTATTTTTTATGATGCCACATCCGTTAAGAATCATCACAGTGATGCATCCTTAGCAGTGCACATGCCTAGGCTGATTCAGATCTCATTGTTGAATTCAATTTGACTGCACTTGCTTGATGTGGGTTGTGCCTGAGACCTCCCAGCTAGTGAGTCAGAGAGGCAAAGCTCAGCTTCCAGGTGTGACTGGAACATGCCCTGGATGGGAATGTGCATCTTCTTATATCTGGATGTGTGTCTGTCTGCGTTCATGGCATCCTGTTGCAATTTCCATTGAAATGTATTCGTTTTTCCTAGGAATTTTCCCTCTTATAAAAGAATTATTCCATAGCTTCAGATATAAAGTCTTCCTTCCAGAAACACCATTATCTTTGTTGAACATAAGTGACTGTTCACTAGTAAAGTGAACACTGTTAGCCGGGTTCCCCGAGTGGAGCAGATGTGTAGGCTTTTGCTTTTAGGACTGTATTTACAAACTGGTAAAGACTAGGTAAAGTATGCGCCTTTTTAATGTGATCTGTTTGTATGACTCAGGCAGTTAAACTAAGTTTGAACTACAGGCAGTTCTTGTTTTACAAGACACCATGTTAATGGAAATGTGGTGTTTCCATGTTTTAAAGTATATATGGAAGCAAAGTTTATGTGGAGACCACATGCTGGCTTTGCTTGGGAGCAGTCACAATGAAACCCATAAAAGCTAGGACACAATTCTGGTGAGCAGGGATTTCTGTTCACAAAGTACCCTGCAAAAAAGAGGCTTGTTAAATAGTGTTTTAACATCCTGGTGTTCTTCTCATTGACAATGTTTGCATTAGACTTGTCAAAGAAAAATGAGCATATTTTTAAAAGTAATTTAGCTCTTAGAGAGTTCTAAACATTCCCGTTGTTACTAATCCCTGTTTACTTATAGATGTATTTGCTTGTAGACGTGAAACGTTTCTTCTCTTATCTCTTATGCAGATATGGTGAAGGCTTTTGGCTTTTCTTTATGTGATATGCATGTTGTGACACTAAAGGAAGATGTTAACAAACTCTTAGTTGGGGAAGCACCCCGGTTTTGTCCTTGTACTTGTCTTAGGAATACAGGAAGCAGTTGCTGAGGAACTTGAGAAGTATGATGGAGTTCCTGAATGATGTCTTGCTGCTTTCCCTCGGATGTGGTACAGGTGCGAACCCACGAGGCAGCGTTCCTCCAGAGTTCAAGGGCACTCCATGCAGGCTATCTGGTCACTGAAGAGATTTAGAAGCACCTTAGGGATTTATTATGCTGTAGGTATCAACAAGTTAAGTGCAGTAGTAGTAGTAGTAGCAAAGTAGTAAAAAAAAAAACAAGTGGTATCAAAGGGTTATTAAATATGTTAAGTATTATTTCCCATTTTACTAGGTGAAAGTTATAACAGCTAGCATTAAAGAATTAAGCTTTCACTGAGAATATTTTCTAAGTTACTTATCTTTCTTTCGTGCTTAAGAAAAAATAAAAGCAAAAATAAGGCCATCTTTACAAGTCTGCCAGAACCTACTAATGAGTTCTCACTTAGTCAGAGCACCTACCATGTGTTAGGCAGGGTCCCTGCATCTGCAAGCCTGTCCCTTAAAGCCAGGCAACCATGTGGGTAGAGGGCATCTGCGCTCCAGCTTCATAGCATGCAGCCTCCTGGAGAAGCCACTAAAGTGCCCATCTTTGTTGTAAAACAAAAATCATGGCATCATTTACATGTGACTTCTGGTGGTGATATTTGATGCAAATAAAACCAGAAATCAGTTTTTAATAGCCCAATCATCACTACTTTGTATGTTTTAGTCTTCTTGTTACTGTTTTAGAAGCCGCGTTTCAGGGTTTAAAAAAAATTATTATTTTTGTATCCTTTTGTTCTATTTTCAAGAGCAGAACAAAAGAATTTTTTTTCTTTTCAAGAACTATTCTTTTATTTTTTTTTTTTGAATTGGTGTCTCACTCTGTCGCCCAGACTGGAGTGCATTGGCCGCTCCCGGCCACCACAGCCTTGACCTGACCTGCTGGGCTCCGGCGATCCTTCCACCTCAGCCTTCCGAGTAGCCAGAATTACATGCATATGCTACCACTCCCGGCTGATTTTTTTATTTATTGTAGAGATGAGGTCTCGCCAAGTTGCCCAGGCGGGTCTCAAACCCGCGGGCTCAGATAATCCACTCACCTCGGCCTCCCAAAGCGCGAGATTACAGGCTGAGCCACCAAGCCCAGCAGAACTAACTCAAAAAAACAAAAACAAAAAAACAGAACAAAGAAGCCGAAAAAAGAAATTTTTGTTTTTTCTGTTTTATGCCCCTAAAGAATAAAAAAAATGAGCACTGATTAACTGTGTACAGTGTCTTCACTGTAAAACTCAAGCCATTCATCCTGACAAACAAATGTGTTCATTTGAAAATCATTCTCTATACTTCTTTACCTCTTCATTGGTATCTTACTACTTTCTTAAAATACCAGTTGTAACTCCAATTAACATTTCAGATACTGCTTGTTTGCACATGTACCTATAGTTACCCTTTCCTATTTTAAAACTCCAGAAGTGATCATTGGTAGGACTTTGAGTTTTGTATGTATTCCATATTTCTTTCTCTATCACTTCTTTAAAATACCAGAGTGGAAGTTGTGAGATAACATTTACAATTGGTAAACAAGGGAGGTGGTAGATTCTGGGTTCTGGAAACCTGCTTATCTGTTAATGAATAAAAGTAAGTCCATGTAAATAGGTAGTGTGGGCTCATTACAGCAGTCTTTAGATATTTCGAGTTCATTTTTTTCACACTCACAAAGTACTATACTATCACTTTGTTAATAGTGCAGTGTGGGTAGTGGGGATGTGAGTGTTCTATAAAATTCTTTCAACTCTTTTCTAGGCATGACCACTTCTACAGTACACCTTGAGGGAGGGAACTCTGGTTTGTGTGACAGCAAAAGACCAAAAGTACATTTAGGAAGTAATAAGTAGAACATCGTGGGAGCACTGGGGGTTGGACAGGGCTTGGGATAAATGCTGAGGGTTTTTACAGAAAAGGAACAGAGGAATGGATTAGTACTGAACAGGACAAGTCTGACAGGAGTGGATGCCACCTGGAGTAAATTGTGAAGACCTTGGAAACCAAACAGGAAA